AAGGAACTTACTAAAGATAGTTTGGGGCATCACAAAAATTTCAATATTTATTTTCAAGGTACCTTATACTGTTGTAAGAGTTGTCTGAAAGAGATTTCTGAAACTATAAAAAACATTAAATAAGTTCAACTAAAACATTATATTATGAACAGTCCAATATAATTCCTTATTAGTTAGGAGTAAATATACATATACAGTTAAATATAGAAGTAAATATACATATACTTTACCAGACAAGATATAGATTGTCAGTTATGGACTGAAGCATTTTTTAAGCAATATATTAATGATAGCTAAAATTGACAAGTAAAGAGTTAAAAACATTTATTGATGTCCTATTATTATAAGCGCTAGATAGCTTTCGAATATAAAATGGTGTCCCAAACATGAAAAATGTTATGACCCTAACCCGATTTTTTATAATTAGAACATCTCTAAAGATTGTTTATGATGATGAAATCGATAATTAACAAAGAGTAAATAACATTTGGAAAGTCTTCATCATCATCATAAGTGGCTCGACAATCAGTTGTGGATCGTGGCCTGCTCACAAAGAATTCGCCACTCCTGTCGATTCCTGGCAACTTCCCTTCGTCTTCTAACCCTTAGAATCTGTAAGTATTCTTTTACATGATCAATCCATCTCCGTCATGGTCGTCCTCTGCTTCTGGTGGCTTCTGGTTATAAAGATGTTAATATCTTCGTGAATTCGTGATCTGACATCGTAGCAATGTAACCAACCCATCTAAGTCTCTGCACTTTAACGAATTTCACAATATCTGGATCGGTGTATAATTGATCTGATTTAAAGTATATTCGACGCCATAGTCCATTTTCATTTACTGTCCCAAATATGTTTTTAATAATTTTTAGCTCAAAAATACCAAGAAGTCTTTCATCATTTTAAGACAGGGTCCACGTTTCAGCCCTATATATTAAAACCGGTCTTATTAAGGTCTTTTGTATATTGAGATTTATTGCACGTTTTATATTTTTATTTTTTAAATATTTCTGGAGACCGTGAACAGTTCTGATTGCTATTGCTATGCGTCTTTTTATTCGTCGCTTGTCGTGTTTGTTGCGTTTACTAGCGATCCAAGATATGTGAATTCTTTGACTTGCTCAAAGGCATGGTTGTTAATTTGAATTCTCTGTTGGATATTGCGGGGGTTTTTAGAAACCAACATATATTTGGTTTTTTCCTCGTTTACCACAAGTCCTAATTCACTTGCAGCAACCGCAAGCCTTGTAAAACACTGCACCATGTCTCTCATATTTCTACCCTAAAGGTCTTTAAATATGGCGCCTTGTAATATTTTTTTTTAATACTTCCAGAACGCTTCTAGTTAGAAAAACGAAAACTGATACGGCTATTTATCATCCAGAGTTAAATCGATTACATTAATTGCGAATTTCTGTTACCGATCATAGGCGTCCGTTTTGGATAGGTCAACGGTTATTTTAACACATATTTTTTTTTGTTTCGTAGATTATTAAATTTTTAGGTATACTAATACTAAAAGATACTCTTACCTTAAGTCGGTAGGATACACCGTTTTCTAGAAAAATCGTTTTGAAAAATTTCGTTTTTTCGCAACGAAAGTTAAATTATTAGATACCTTAAATAATTTTATAATTTTTTTTTTATTTCAATAAATGCGGCATAGGATTCGTTAGAAAAGTTAAGAAAAAATCAAATTGAGACAAATCAAATCAAAAAAATTGAAGGAAAAAATTTTATTTAAAGGGTTTTAAAAAGAAACCATTTATTACGACGCAACAAAACTAACACAAAAGAGCAACTATCGAAATAGATAGTTACAAAGGATGCTCCATGTTGATGACCATTAGTCTCTGTGCATAAATTTGCCCCTTTGCTTAAAGAACGCTGAATTCATACAAATTGCAGTTGTTTCTAAATTCGTTGCAAGCATCCTGTATCCTTAGCTAGAGTTGTGCACGAAACAAATGCTGTTATGTGCATTCAAACACAATAATCGCAAGGATTAAAATCCGGCGACCTTGATCCCCTAGCAACTAAACCGCCTCTTCCAATCCGTATATTTCTGCTAAAGTAGGCCGGACAGCCGTAATGTAAAAACCATAAGTAAAACATTTTTCAGGCAATGTAAGTAATCGGTACCATTTAAACGAGCAGACAATTCCACAGGCCCAAGTAGATAATCGTTAACTACCCCCATTCAGACTTTATGCTAAACATATGCTGATGCTTAAAGTCTTTCACAACGTGGGAATTGTCATCAACGTACAGAGAATATTGTGCATTATTCACATTAAAATTTTCATTTTTTTTTTAATGTAGCTTTGTCGCAAAACAAAATGTATCTGGAAAACATCTTCATTTTGATTTTTCTGATTTTGTAACTATGTATCGAATTCTTTACAAGCAGGAAAATCTCTTTGTAGCAGTGCTTTTCCCTTTGTAAAATGAAAAGGATCTAAAATTTTCGTTGTGTAAGCTATTTCCTGTGGAACATTTTAAAATTGTGGGATACATGGCAGATAGTCTTAGAACGCTAAATTTCTGGATTTTTATTAACATCCATTAAAATAACATCTTCATGTGCTGCTGTTACATCATCACATTCCCTCTTTCATTATTTTGAAGACCACTGAACCTGTTTTTTTTTATTCGTTGATTAAGAGCTGAGGACCCTTAAGTTAGCGGGAACAAATGAGTGGAATCCAATTTAACCTACGTAATATTTTTTCGCCATTTTAACTAATTTATTACCACCCTAATAACTTTTCGCCACCAAACCACCCTTAAGGGCAGCGATTCTACTGGTTTACGGTTAAAACTAACAGAATTTAAAAAAAAAATATTTATGATATACCACAGTGTTCTACTAGGTTTTTACGAATTTATTACCATCTTAGTAATATTTCACCGCTCAACTAACACTAACCCCTCACCCCTTACGGAAAGTCAATAATTCTGTTAGATTAAAATTTAAGGGAAAAAATTCTATTTTAATTTTAAATTCAGTGTCCTCTACTCATAACTGAAATAAAAAAATGTTTTTTAAGTTTTTACTAAACTTTAACCACCCTTATTTGAAAACGTTCCTGTTAGCTTAATATTTGAGAGAGCGAAATTATAAAAAAAATATTTTCGAAATACCAGAATGTTCTGCTAGGCTCTAACGAATTTATCATCACCCTAGTAATTATTCACCACTCAATTGCCTCTTATGGGAAGCCAATAATTCTGTTAGGTTAAAATTTGAGGTTAAAAAATAGTATTTTATAATTTCACTCTCCTCTACTAAGAATTAAAATAAAAAAGTGTCGTGTTAAGTTTATACTAAACTTTGATCACCATGTTAATTTTTCACCCCTAAACCAAACTTATTTGGAAACGTTCGTGCTAGCTTAATATTCGAGCCAGCAGAAATAAAAAAGAATATTTTTGAAATCCCACAGTGTTTCGATAGGTTTTAACAAGTTTATTACCACCCCAAACTACTCCTTGTGGGTCAATAGTAAGCTATTAAGCAGAAGCTCGAATATTAAGATTACTAATTAAAAAAAAAAATTGTAAATACCACATGGTTCTGCTCGATTTTTACTAATTTTTCACCTCTTAACTAACTCATGGTAGCTTAGTTTAAAATAAAAAAAGTAATTTTTAAATACAAGTGCTACAAAGCTTTTCCAATTATTTTACCATCTTCATAATTGCTTACCCCTCTATAAGAAGCCAATAATTCTGCTAGGTTGAATTTCGAATTGGCAAAACAAAATTAAAAAAGGTATTTTTATTATTTTTTTTGCATTGTACTTTTACTTTAACCATATACTATTTTTTGCTATCTTCTCATTTTTTACCTAATACACTGAGCGTAAATTTCGCACTTTACACTCTAATTTTGGAAGCGTAAGGTCGTACTTTTTCGTCCAGTATAAAAAATGTACGCTTTTGCATTTCAAGAGTTGAAAATCAAAATGGATGGTAATAAATTAGTGAAAAATGGGTGAAAAAATATGCGATCGGCAATAAGTTTTTTTTATTCTACTAGCTTGAAGCGTAAGCCAGCAGAATCGCTCCCCTTAAGTCTGATTTGGTGGTAAAAAATTATTAGGGTGGTAATAAATTAGTAAAAAATGGATGAAAAAATATTACGTAGGTTAAATTTAATTTCGCTCATTTGTCCCCTCTAGCTTAAAGGTCCTGAAGAGATGTAAATGTTGAGTGAGAGAGATCACGATTGGGAAGCTTTTCAGGGTATGTACGTTGTGCTGCTCGAGCGTTACTCCTCATTTTTGTTGAATTGAAATTGCTATATTTGAATGAATAAAACTAAAAAATAAACTTCACGAACTGACTACAATTTGACAATGAAAACGTAGAGTCACGGTCAACTAGAACAAAAAATATTGATTTCAATTTTATGAAGAAAAAACGAAAAATTTTCAAATCGATTTTTCTAGAAAACGGTGTATCCTCTTTACTTAGAGTAGAACTACCTTTTAGTACTAGAATGACTGAAAATGTAATAATACAGTACCACGAATATTTCAAAGGTAAAGAGTTATGCATTAAAATAACTGTTGAACTACCCAAAACGGACGACTATGATTTGTACTAGAAATTTACAATTAATGAAATCGATTCAACTCTGGAGGGTAAATAATCTTACTAATTTTTATTTTTCTAAATAAAGCGCATTCTAGAGAAAACAAAACTATTTACACGGCACCATATTCAAAGAGCTCCCTTAGGAAGCAATTTTGGACTAGGTGAATTGAGTTAAATTATTCTAAAATGATTTGAAGAATCTTCAGTCTTCGTTTGTCGGGAGAGTTTCTGTCTCTTTTTCTGTCTCTGTCCTTTTATACAAGGAGACACCTTGTATAAAAGGACAAAAACCCAAAATAGTTGAAATATTGAAACTAATATTTTCTGTTTCGGGAAGCAACCAACGTCAGTTGGAGTTTACTCAGTTTTCCTAAAAAACTAAAATAAAACTATGTTTTTTTAAATGAAATTTATTGATGTATATTAATATTTTAGATCTGAAAACATGTTCTACATATTACGTATAATGAAAAAAATGTATAAATATCTTTCTTCAGCATTGTATTTAAAAAATAATAATATACTTTATTAACCCTATAGTAACAAAATATACCCCTAAGCTTCCTTTATAATACTCATGATGAACAACTTTCCAGGCGTTGAGCTGAAATATTAATAATTTAATTAATTAGTGTGACCCGACATTTACTAGCTTAACCAAATTTACTTAGTCCTTGCACCATATATGCGAAAGTTTAACTTATAAATTTTCCAACTTTTCCAACTTCGGACGTTATTTGATACACTAACTATTTCTGACCGAGCGTATTCTTATTTTTAATAAAGACAAATGGTTTTCTCAGAAGATCAAACGATGTTGTTTTGACTTTGGCTTAGAAGTTCTCCGGTACTTTTATCACAGACTGAGACTTTTCTCTGGGCAATATTGGATTTTAGTCCTTTTTTAAAGTTCTGTAAAAAATATAACAAGATTAGATACAAAGTCGTGATATTAAGCAAGGATAACTCGACACCCCCCATCGAACATGGTTGTAACTCATTTTTAGCGATCGTACAGGAAAGGCAAAAAGCGAAAACATGTATTTTTGATAATTTGAAGAGAAATGATTAAACTCTTTTACACAAATGCGATACGATATTTATAACATAATGAGGGATTTCTTTGAAATGTAAGTTTTGTAATTTTATCAACTATTCAAAATCTTGAGTTTGATTGAGATACAACTTTCAGATTAAATATAACTCTTCGTAGAAAAAGGTCGTAACTCCCCTAACAACCATTTTACACTCTCGGTGTTAATTATGTTTTCCGTTTTATTATTAAAAGGTTGTATATATTAAGTTACTGGCAATGTAAATAAGAGAAAATTAGTTTTTATGGTATTTTTAAATAAAATATCAACTCATAGTTTTCACAGTTTTAATTGGAAATTATAAATTTTACAAAAACAACAATATTCTACCAGTACGTACAAAATAATCACTATCAATAAAATAAAATAATTAATTGTTTTTGTAACGGTGATATATTTCGGGTATGACTTATAAGCTTATAGTCTGATGCAGAAACTTCTCACATTGGAGTCGATAAGATCTTCTGGAGATCAAAACATGCTGCAAGTACTGAGTTACCACATTAAGCAAGCGACTTAGTTTGCGTTTTGAATTCCTGCACCATAGTTTTAGAAGGGATATGATGGGTATAATTAAGCTTTCCTCAGTTCCTCCATAGATCTTTCTTGGGTTTAAAGAAATCTATGTTAAATTTACATAATTGGACAGTCCTTGCTGTCCAATTTTGGACATAGGCCTCCTCTTCCTTCTTCCAAGTCTCTCTATTGTGGGTAGTTTGTATCCAGTTCGGGCCTGCGTGTTTCTTCAAGTCATCTAACCATCTTATTTGGGCCATCCTCTTTTTCGTTTGTAACTCTATGGTTACTATTTTGGACACGTAGTAAGAGGAGACCGATATAATATTCTTCAACTTATTATGATGGGTAAAATCGAAGGACGCAGAGGAATTGGTAGAAAGCAGGCCTCTTGGTTGAAGAATATCAGGGAGTGGACAGGAATAAGGAAAGCTGAGCAACTCTTTAGAATAGCTCGAGACAGAGACAGTTTCGCCATATTAATCGCCAACTTCAAGGGAACTTGATAGGGCACGTTAAGAAGAACTATATGGTCTCCAGTGTATAATTATCTTATTCCATCTGTCGTTTTTCTGTCTTATGGTATGTCCAGCGAACTTCCACTTAAATTTTGTTATCTGCGTTGATACATCGGTCACTTTTGTTTTGTTGCGGATCCAAGTATTTCTTTTCTTGTTTGATAGCCTGATGTTCAGCATTTGCCTTTCCATGGCTCTTTGGGTCTTTGCTATTTTTCCATGTTTTCCTTTGTAAACGTCCAAGTTTGAGAACCGTAGGAGAGAACGGGAAACGTGCATTAGTTGAAGGCTCTTGTTTTTAAATATTAGAGGTATTTTCTATTTTTTACTATATAGAAAAGTTTTTCGAAGGATACCCAAGCCAACCCAACTAGTTGTCCCAAATATACATATTCTTTGACTTGTTCTATAGTTGTTTGTGAAATTGTAATTATTAATTCTTCTGGTTGGTTGGTCATAATTTTCGTTTTATTATAATTCATTTGTAGATCTATTTTTATTATAGATTCGCTATTCATTCATCATATTTTGTAATTCTTCCCTTTGTCTGTTATTAATACAATGTCGTCTGCATATCTCAAGTGATTCAAGTATTGGCAATTTTTGTTAATTATCCGTTTTCCCATTGTCATTTCATCATAACGTCTTCCAAAGCTTGATTAACCCGGGACTACACGCGTGTCGGTCGAAAGGACCGAGCCGTGATAAATTTTAAAATGACGCCGCTTGTATAGTGGTGGTGGTACTGACCTTCCTGGAATGCTCCAAGAGGTTTTCCTTTTAGCGACTGGCGTTATATTATTTCAGTTTTTATTTGGCCTTTGAGAGATATAGTTTAATATTTGTGTAGTCGGTGCTTTTGACCACGTGCGTGTACATAAGTATCAAAGATATTTGTGTTGCAGTTTCACAGTTTTAGATATTGGTGTGATTTTTATAGTTAATAATACGGTAATAATAATTAATAAAAAGTCTAGTATTTTAATGGAAAATATAGTCACACGTATGGTGATTTGTAATAGCATTTTTTTATTTGCAGGTTATGTGTTCTTAAGAGAAAGAAACAAAGCGTATTTTAGCCATGTGGGCTGAAATTGAGAACGACGATGAGATAGGTGGACCACCTGAAGACCAAGATGACGTTTTGGAGAACAATGATTACGACTCCAATTCAGAGCAATCAGAAGAAGAGATACCAGATTTTAACGAAACTCAGCAAGATCTAAATACTCGTCTGTGTTTTGTGGGAAGGGACAAAAAGACTTTGTGGAATAAATTTCCCGTAGCTGTTTAAAAAAAAAGACCCTGAGCAGAAATATAGTGACTCAATCTTCTGGAGAAATTGGAAAAGCCAGAGAAGCAAAAACCAATATTGATGCTTGGCAATTGTTTTTTCCAGACTCCGTCATCAGCGAAATAGTTGAACACACAAACAAATATATTCTAGAGCTTCGGACAAAGTACAGTAGAGAAAGAGATGCTACCAGTACAAATATGGAAGAAAATTAAAGCACTTATTGGTCTTCTAAATTTTGCTGGAGTCTTGCGGTCATCACACCTACATTTGAGAGATCTGTGGGCACAAGACGGAACCGGCGTAGAGATTTTTCGTCTTACAATGGGAATTAATCGATTTCAATTTTTGTTGCGAGCGCTTCGCTTTGACGATCTTGATGATAGAGAGGAACGGAAACAGTACGATAAGCTATCTCCTATAAGAGAATTTTTTGATGGATTTGTTGAGCGATGCAAAGCCAATTATACTCTTAGTGAATTTGTAACAATTGATGAAATGCTTGAGTCATTTCGCGGCAAATGTGGATTTCGACAATATATACCGAATAAACCAGCAAAGTATGGAATCAAAATATTAGCGCTTGTTGATTCCATGTCATATTACATTTATAATCTAGAGGTGTATGTTGGGACTCAACCAGATGGGCCCTATAAAGTTGACAATAGCGCCTCATCAGTCGTACAACGATTAATTAAACCAATTTCTGGAACTGAAAGAAATGTAACTTTCGATAATTGGTTTACGTCGATACCTTTAGCCTTAGATTTACTAAAAAAACACAAACTAACTGTTACGGGCACAATTCGCAAAAATAAAAAAGAAATTCCTGAAATTTTTACTGCAAAGTTAAAGGAGCGTAAAGTTACTTAGAGCATTTTTGGTTTCACCCAAGACATGACTTTGGTATCCTACAAGCCCAAGCAAAACAAAATAGTTACATTATTGTCAACAATGCATTACAAAGACGAGATTGATCCAGAAAGTGGCGATGCATACAAGCCATCAATGATTACATTTTACAATGCAACAAAGGGAGGTGTTGATACCATTGATGAGCTAAAAGGAACTTACTCTGTGTCACGAAAAAGTTGCCGATGGCCTCTAACATTATTTTTTACTTCCTTGAATATATCTGGAATAAATAGCCATATCGTTGCTGACAAAAATAACAATACTCATAGAACTCGCCGAAACTTTTTGAAATCATTAGCGATGAGTCTCATTACACCGCAACTTGAACGTCGTCGAGAAATGGTTATGTTACCAGTAACTATGAGAAGTCGTATAAAAGAAATGTAGGGCATCCAGGAGGTATCTACGCCACATAGCCAGTATGACGTTCCAGGCAGATGTCATTTTTGCTCATCGAAAAAGAACAGAAAAACGAAGACCCTATGCCTACACTGTCAAAAGTATATATGCCGAGAACCTACTTCCCAGGTTTGTACAGAATGCTATAAAAGCCAACAATAAATTAAAAATTGTAACGTAAGTTTAAAATATAAGATTTTTGGTATATATTTAGATTCTACTTGTTTTTTTTTATTAATTAAAACCAAAATTATGTCTACGGTCGATTTGACCGTGCGCGTGTTACAACGTAAGTTTTTTGGAGCGTGTAATGCCGGGTTAAATAGTTTGGGTGATACAGTGTCACCCTGTCTTATTCCTGGCCCGATCTTAATAGGCTCCGTTTGTTCAACTATTTTAATGGATGTTGTTGCTTAATCATAATATAATTGAAATTAAGTATGTATATCCTTAGTCTATTCTTCCATTTTGTAAAGAGTTCTTTACTGTCCAATGTTCCACCTTATCGAATGCTTTTTCAAAGTCTACAAAGGCCATATACATTGGGATTTGATATTTTTTGGCCTTTTCAATTAATATTTTTATTGTAAGCTGATCGTCAAAGTGCAAGTAGTATTCAGGGTCTTATCCGAAGTCATGATTGAGTAATATCTCACGATCGGCGATTTGACAAATCCTCGAGAACAGCCGATGAGCACGGACGGCAACCCACCACAGACAGAGCTCTTCCTACGATCCGCGATAGTCTGTGTAGCTGTCTACTTTTTTTGCCATTTGTATATCGACATTAAATTGTGTCTTTTCTTTTTTAAGTCTTAAATCGAAATAGTACTATTCTTCAATTGGTTGTTTATTCGATTCCATGCGTCGTATATATCCTTCGGGTTACTACGCTCTGGCACCGTAGAATTCCATAAACTTGGTTCATTTTGATACAAATTTAAAAAATAAAAATAACTTGGTCCATTTCATTTTTTAGCAAAAAACTATTAAAACACTGCAAAACAACTTTGACAAGACTAAAAACTACTTTTGTCAGCGAATGAACAATTTTTGACTTAAAGTGTCTGTTAAAACCACGGAGGCGCTCGTATAGTGTTGCACGGGCATGTACCGCACCTTTGATATTACCTACTCTGGATGGATACGTCGCACCAGCACAGACGTTCACGGATGAGACCATTCCCACGGTGCGTAGGTGCGAGCTGATCTGCGTCCGTCCGCAATATCGCCGATGTTGGGAAGCCGCTATTAGACGCTGTCAGGCTAACCCAAAACTATTTCTATTCCTTCGATATTTTATAGGTGATATTATTATTAATTTAGATATTATTAGATGGTTTTTGGTACTCACGTTACATTTGATAGGTTGACACGGACTATAAAATTTGTTGATAGATTTGTGTTTTCAGTTATACATATAATAGATAAACACTTTTTCATGTCGAAGTTCGCACACTACTTAGCTTTTAACTCGTTTGACTTAATGAAACTGTTATAAATATTTTTTTATTAATTAATATTGACTATTTTTTTGGAGAGTTCTAAATATAATATATTAACTAAAACAGTAACTTCACAATAGAGTAACACTACTGTTTCATAAAGTTCATTATCGTATGTGATGAATATATAAATTGCATGTAATATTCTTTAATTAAACTAGATAGCACTGTAATGTTATTTATGCTGATAGCTGTTAATTATTCAATGAAAACGACGTAAAGCTTTTTGGAATTATCATATAAATGTCACGCTCAACTTTTAGTACGCCTTTAATAGAAATACAGTATGGTCATATATTTTTAATGATATTATTAAAAAAAAAAGTAAAGCGTCGAAAAGTTCTTAATATTTTATAATACTGTCTAGGGTTGACCACGTAAAGTATTCTAATAATTCCAGATATGCTTCTCCGTTTAAATTTTGTTGCATTATCATTAAGCTTTACAATCCCTAGGGATGATAGCTAATGCCATGGCGTTAAAATTCTATTCTTGGGTGAGTTGGATTATTCCTCTATATTACTTATGATTTGCTGTGTGTATTTGCTGCTGTCGTGACTATTTTCCATTTCATCCTGTCTTTGCAATGGACTTTCAAGTTTTTAACATTTATTGTTATTTTATCATCTTCTACATCACCCAAGTATTTTCTTCTAGGCCTCCTTTATCCGTTCTTGCGACCGGCACTGAGAGTTACATAGCTACTCAATTCACCCAGCAACTACCAAAGGTGAAGTTCCGCCTCTGGTAGTTCTTCTTCTTCTTCTCCTTTATAAGCAATTCTGCTTGTTCGTTGGCGGATTAATACTTCGAAGGCATGGAAAGTTGTTACTTCATCTTTTGCGCGGTCGTCCGATACTTCTTCTTTTGGTAGTTGTTGGGCAATATATTATCATTACTATATTGCCAAAAACTTAATTAGCAACTTAGACTATACTGTTTTTTTTCTTTTAGCGGAAAATATAAAACACTTAAAGTAACTGCCAACATTAGAATAACCTGACAAAATATCTTTAAAAGGGAAAGAAAGAAGTGTGGTAGAGAGAAAACTAGTATAATATTTTTAATTAATCTAACGTTCATATTTTTAAAAGGAACACAATATTCAAATTAAAAAACAACCTTTGTTAAAGTTTTAAAACCGATCTACACTAAAATAAAACATCTACGTACCTGCAGTAAACTTCCAGGTTGGCTAAAAACGTAGTAGATTATGTATACTGGAATCCACAGCATAGAGGAACAACTTATACCCAATCCAATAATATCAGCCCACAAGGGATATTCATAGGAACCATACCTTAGTCTTTGGTATTCAAAGCATTGACTAATAAATATCACCTTAAACAAAGATTATCCTGATTTTTTATATTCTTAAATTATAAATAATAAAAATGTTGTTTGTAAATGTGAATCCACTTTCAATGGTTAAAATAAAAAAAGAGCTTAAAAAGGTGACTTCAGCCAATCTGAAGTAGAAGTAGGAGTGGGCGTTGCAATATGCTCCACATAAAACCATGGAGTTGGCTGATGTAGAGGCCAATGTAACAAAACTAAAAGAAATGTAATTAAAATTATAAGTATGCGCACATCACAAAATGTGTAAGACTAAAGACAGTAACCTAGAAATGAATATGACAATCTGATAAAATCAGGGATAAACGAACGAGAAAAGAGTACTGAAATAAGGTCTTACTAAAAAAATATTGTAGCTACCAGGAAAGTATCAACATCACTTCCCAAGGTAAGTCATATTGCTGTAAAGGTTTCCTTAATCAGTTTCCGAAATTGAAAAAAAGGTACGAATTAAATATACAGCTATGGAAAATAAATATCTGACTCTAGGGCATTAAAATAACTCAAAGAACTGAGAAAAAATATATAGACTTGTATGTCCGAGAGAAAAACATGTAAACATAAGTCTGACCGGTAAGTATCATAAAAAATACCATAATAAGTTTTTAGCGGCATAAATTAAAAGAATTTATTCTAAAAAATAACAATTTTATATTGGTAATTAAAACTCTTTTAAATTAAATTTTTAAAAAACATTATTCCAGTCTATTGTATAATTACCTTCTGGTATTGGACAGAGTTTCGGTTGTCAATGCTTTGAAAGGCCTGAATCATTTTTTGACGTGATTTGTCTAAATTTTCGGCACGTTTATGCCCAAAATAATAAAGTTGTTACTTCACATAAACCTATACGAAAAAGTCCAAAGGTGTAAGATCAGAAGGGCGAGGTGACATTTTTATGCTACCTTTTATACTAAACACTTTATCTGGAAATGTAATGTTTAAAAATTTAACACCTTCCGTACATTGTAAGCTAGACAGCCATCTTGTTGAAATAAAATTTCATCCATATTAATAGATAACGTTCGAACTGCTGGAATTATGTGATTTCTCGGGAGATCTAGGTATTTACAACGACAAAAATTGCCCACAATGAAAAAAGGGAAAATTACGTTGTTACCTAAATATAGGTCCAGTGTCTTGTGGAATGTGTCACTGTGTGTAAAATGTAAAATAAAAACTCTTATTCTAGTTGACTATAAAAAGTGTACTTACAGCCATAACTAAGGGAGCAATGTACTTCCAAGAAATCCTCCAAAACAATCCTGGGCGTATTCCCATCATTTTTTCTATACAATCTCCCAATCGGTCAACTCCAAAGAACCAGGAAATGGCTATAGTTTGAAAAAAGCATACCCAAAGTAATGACATTCCACTTGCTGAGTAGTAGTCCATTAATTGGAATATGTACATCCCCCCCTGAAACAAAATGTGAATATGTTTTAGTTTCTATCAATAACGCAGATCAATAATACATGTTATGAAAAAAAAGAGGTTTAAATCGTTATAAATAGGTATATTTAAAAAACCTTTAAAAGGGCTACATCAGAATAATAAACTTTTTTGGAATAATAATTCCGTTATCAGGTTAAAAGCCTAAAATAAGTATAAACCATTTAATTAAAGCACACGTGATTGAAGTGTCGACTAAGGTTATAAAAGCAAAATGGTTATACTTACAGGTTAACATGCCTGAACCACCAAAATATTAGGGTAAAAACCCCTTAAAACCCTTTAAAGTAAATAAAGTTACCAAAGATTGTACATATTGTTGTTAAAAATTAATGATGTTTAATGTTTTATTAGATTTTACTTCAGGTAACATACACCCATGCCTTACGGGACTACCAGCGTCCGGAGGGTAGACCTCTTCAAACGGACTTCAGCTGGTAACTGACAAGATACCTATGAACGGTGTCTAAAACAAAATGTGAATGCACCATGGAACAGTGTTTGTTATACATAATATTACTGCAGCCAAACGATTCAAAAGCTTTACTGATGTTGAAAATGATAACAGCAATCCAAGTGTTGGGATTTAAAAAGTTTTTTATTATTGAATTTTGGATATGAAAGGTGTAAAATTACCGATGGAGTTAAAGGTCATGTTGGAGAGAATAACGTATGCATTAAAAAGCCTATGTTACTTTTTGTCGTATGGAGTGTGGTCTGTACTTCGCGGAAGACGGACGGTGTAACGTGAAAAATGTCCATTTCACGTACAATGTAATTTTTTTTATTAAATATATCTCAGCTCGTTTGTTAAAATAAATATTTAAATACTCAATAATTGTTCACATTAATTCAAATAATTTTAATTCTAAATGAGTTCCTATTAGGTATGCAACCAGTTAATTATAACCTAGTAATGTGTTTAGTATCCCATAAATCAGTTTACTCAGTGTGTATCTATGGAGAACGAAGTTCTATGGGTATGGTAATTTATTTTCTGTCAGTTGTCGATATATTTTTGACATCTGAATAATTCTTGCCTTTCTGATATACGCTTTCGTAGAGGAAAGTCGAATTTTGGTTTCCTTTAAATCAAGGGTAAGAAATTAGAGTCATTCAAGTTTTTTTTCAAAATTTTATGTTAGTTAATTTATTTCAGGGTTTGTAAGAACAAAAAAAGAAAAATAAAACAACCAGAAGGGAATTTTGCATTTTTTTTGCCGTCTTAGCTGACATGTGCTTAGGCGTCTGGCCTTATCCAGAATTAACTAGTAAAATCTAGTTTTTTTGTTGCAAAATGCTGATGTAAGCAGTAGAATTCACACTGGTGGGTGCAGTTTTTTTACATACATTCACAGAATTCACATTGGGATACAGTATAAGGGATCAAAGACAACTTCCATGAGGTTAGAAGCGGTCTAACAATTTTCTTTTCTCCAAGAATCCTGTCAATTTGAGATAACACTTTGTCCAGGGTAGCCGGTTCTGTGCTCTTGTTGAATAAGGATTCATCTGGAATTTTGTTAAGGCTTTTCCTTCAGCATCAGCCCGTATTTGGGAAAGTCCCGTTTTCAAGCTGAAGTTTCATGTAAAGTTCACACAAAGGTATTTATGGTGAAAATTAAAATATGTATTTTGAGAGACTTTTCTTTAAATTTAAATTTTGAAATACTTTTTTTAGTAATGATTTAATGAATACATTTTGGGTGATATTAACTGGTATATCTTCATAGGGCTCCACAGTTTATCCATATTTTCACATGTTTTCTTTATATTTAAATTTAATTTTAATTAATTAGTCAATCTTAATTAAATAACGGTTATTTTTTTATTGTATTTTTGATATAAATATTTTGACAAATGTAAATTCAACTATAGTTAAATATTTCATTTACAACATATAAATTTGTTACTATTGTATTGTCTAATTTTATAACAGATCTTTAAATAATTTCATCAACATCTGTAATGTAAACTATTAATTTTGGAAGTGCTCATGATCTTGACGGGGATGTTTTGTTGTCAATAAATGAGACATTATATTTATGATCTGTGCCAGCTCAGTCAGCTATTATTATGGTTACTCTGATGTCTGACTACATAAAAACAATTTTTTCTTTGTTTAACATTGACTGATTTAAAGAACTCAACCAGAGAATAAAGATAAAAAAATTTTATTTAGCTTTTTATTTCTACAATAGTTTTAATACAACAGGATCTTCTTTGAAGTTAGGAATTTAATGATTTTTATATATTTTTTTCCCTATAGTTTTTGTATAAAAAATAGGGTGGCGTCCAATACATCTTTAGGTCTGGTACAAGGTAAGATTAGCAGAATCCCCCCATTATCCACTGTTCTACGACGACGACTAGCCAGGACACAGTTTGCAAAGGGATGAGTTTGCATAGATTCTATCCCCTGACAAGAACACTTTAGTAACAAATTAGACTTGTCGAACTGTGCATATTTCTAACCCCTACTAAGGACAGCAAGTAGGAGTTATAGAAATTTGGCGCCCTTACGTGGGGCTGATTTAGAAATTTGTCATTACAACTAGTGTGGCCGATCTAGAAATTTGTTGTGTTAACTAGGTGCCAACATAGAAAATTGTTATGCAATTTTTTTTTCAACTATATTTCGTTGTAACAGACCTAAGGGAAATCATAGCCTATGAAGGTATATCAGTTATTAGGTAAATTTATTTTGACAGTTATTAAGTAAAACTTTTTATACTTATCAGTTAGGTAAAATTTGTTTTTGTATTAAAATAAATTTAATATTTGAGCGTTGAACTTTGATGAATAAGTAGGTACAAACATTTTTCAATACCTTTAAGGTATATTGTGTGGTAATTTTTACTAACTGTGTTTATTTAACACTATTAATTATTGTGAATAGGCATTCTTTTTCTCTGTAAAGCAAATGAGCTGAGATAGGTTTGTGAATTCAGTATACATTTTACAGGGATTAATGATAACATTTTTTTTGAAAATTTTATATACATAACCTCTTCACTCAAAATAGTTGTGTTAGTTTCATTCAAACAAATTTTTGGTTTGAAGTTGAACTTTATTAGTTCAATAGTTTTTTTCCAGGGACTTTATTAGTCAAAAATAGAGATAAACTTGTGTATTTCACAGTAAAATTTAATGATGAGACTTCATTAGTCTTTTATTTTTATGAATTTCTAGTTGGTCCAAATGTTTTGAACTTTGATAATTAGAAATATATTATTGATTTTGAAAGTTAAATGGTACAGACATATTTTTGAGATTATTGGACATAACAGTTTAAGTAAGTGTTAATATTTTTTTTGAATTTTAGTAATTCGAAACCAAGTTGGTCAAAATTTAAAATTTTTTTGAAGATTTTTAAATGAATCGGTGGAATTTATAAATAATTAATTTGTTCCTGAGTTTCCTTTGTTTGAGTGCATATTTTTGAACTTTGAATTTTAGTCAAAATTATCTTTTTGTTAATTATTGGTGACTGAATTTAGTTGAGACTTATAATATTCATATTTTCTTTGGGAATATTTAAAAAAAAAAAAAAAAAAAAAAAAAAATTTTTCAATATGGAGTTTACACCTAGACATTTATTAAAAGATGAGGTAGATTATGAACTTAGACTTAGAGGTATAAGTACAACTAGACCCCTAGATGAAAAACGTAAAATTTTAAGTACTCAGTTAAGGAAGGAAAAAAAATATCCAGTTACTTTACAAGACCCCACTTATCAATTCGAGACAGAATCTGCTCAAATCACAGCCACCTTAGATAGTATTAGGACTTTAGTTACAGATTTTGAAGGTTCGGAATCCGATGCTTTATATTTGCGTTTAAAGTCTAGATTAGTTCATGTAAGTGCTCGAATTCGTCGAATTCCAGTGGATGTAGATAATCATGATGAAACTGTTTTTAAAAATGAATCATATGCCTCTTGTTCAATTCTAGAATCAGATCTAGATGAGAAAGCCATGGATGAAAATCCTTTAACAAATTTGTGGAGTACTGTAATGCCCCCAACTCCCACTGTTCAACCAGTAGTTAATAATCAAGTAATTGAAAAACCAGTAGCTATATACAAATGGGACTTGAAATTTGATGGTACTAGAAAAACGTTAGGAGTAAAATCATTTTTAGAAAGGGTAGATGAACTAGCCACTGCTAGAAAGGTGAACAAAGTACAACTTTTCGAAGGGGCAATAGATTTATTTACTGGGAAAGCACTTTTATGGTTTAGACACGTTAGGACCTTGCCTGAAATTAACGATTGGGACTCTTTAGCCAATAGACTTCAGGTAGATTTTTTAGATGACGATTATGATGAAGTGTTATGGGAAACTATAAAGAATCGTAAACAGCAATCAGACGAATCAATTGTTATTTTTGTTTCAGTATTAGAACAATTATTTAATAGGTTAAGCTCTAAACCAGCTGAGAGTACTAAAATTAAGTGGATTCAGAAAAATCTTAGGCCGGAAATAATAGAGAAAATAGCTTTGAACAAATATAACTCGGTTGAAGCCTTATGCAAGGATGTCAAACTAATAGAGGGTGTTCTTAGGGATTTGCAAAATAGAAATTCTAAGTCTAGAGTAAATGCTCTACAGTCTGATATAGATTTTGATTTTGGTTGTTGCAGTGTAACTAATCACAGACAGGTATCTGAGTTTAAACCTAATAATAATAATAACGGTAATAATAAAAGTAAATTTCAAAACTCTAAATACAATAAAAATCATAATGTGAAGGGTCATCAGTCTAGTAATAGTAAACATGTTTCCACTGTTTCTAAAGAAATAACTTGTTTTAATTGTAATGGACTTAACCACTTTTGGCAAAATTGTACAAAAAAAAGGGGTAAATTTTGTTTTTCTTGTGGCAAGCCAAACGTCACAAAAAAAGATTGTAGCTTTTGTCAGGGAAACGGCAACAGGAGATAGGGCATGATCCCAGAGGCCGAC